TATCAAGCCAGTTTCCAATAAGTTACATCAACTTTTGAATTCAGCTTGAAATCAGCTTAACGCAAAAAAACTGAGTTTCAATTACAAACAGTGTCATGTTCAGGCAACACAATCCCGTCAAAACTTGTGAAATGATCCAGATGTGTCGAAATCCTGAACTCGAAGTGGAAAAAAAAGTTGTCTAGCAAATTTCACCAAGTCTCAGCAACTTTGATTTAGCTTTAAATCAACCTATTGCAGGGATTTGAGTTTAATTTTCACAAGATTTAAAATTAATGCAACACAAATATGCCAAATGGTGTGAGATTGTCCAGGCGCTTTGAAAACCTGAACTCAAGGTGAAAAAAAAGATGTCAAGCAAATTCAATGAACTTGCATCACCTTGAACTTGAACGCTTTAAATCTACTGAATGGAGTCATTTGAGTTTAAATTACACACAATATTAAGTTTATGCAATTTTACACAATTGTGTCAAACCAACCCTTAAAAAAAGAAAACTAGTAAAATAGATTTTTTTTTCTCATCTTGCAGTTTGACCTTTTGACTTCTAACAAACGATCAAACCTCGACAGAAATGCTTTTTCTTTTCTTTTCCATAATTAACGCTTTGAGTCACCCTCTTGTTTTTTCTTTTTTTCTTTTCTCAGCCCCCCTCGCAGCCAAAAACGCACGCTGCCCTTCAGGTATAATTTAATTGTGTTGCAGAGCGTCTGAATAAATGTGTCACCCTGCCTGCTTCCACTGTGACTGATATTTGCGCAGTTTATTAGGCGCAAATGACCGCAAACTAAAATAAGTTCCAGGCTGTTTTTGTATTAATAGGAGGGATTATCATGCGGGAGTTTTATTGATTTAAAAAAAAAAAAAAGGCAAACTAGGGCGAATGGAGGCATGTGTGAGTCCTCTGACAGCAGCAGCACCGACTTGTCCCGTATTTGGCTCCACAAACATGACGCGCAACGGAGACGGGGGCGATTACGCGCATGCTGGGCGTCAATGGGAGCAGCGCGCTGTTGACAGTTCCCGAGCAAACAGCGCAAAAAAAAGAAAAAAGAACTCAGACTGCGCACACACTCGACACACACGCACACACACACGTATGCATGCAGGTGTTGCGGATTACGTAAGAGGCCCGATAAGAGCACATGATGATGATGA